TGCTGACCTAGTCCTCAAAGCAGAAACAGGAACTTACTCGGGCTACAGCCCCAGAACCCTGCACACGAGGATGGAAGAATTCTACGTGTCAAGTGCACGTCTTCTATTTAATTTGCGCATTCCCCTGTGTAGTGAATGGCCTTATACATAGCTTGGGAATGCAACCCATGGCTCTTAGCGTCCCCTGTGTCATTCTGTTGGTCAGCGGCTGGGCTCACACTCTTTCCATGCCATGGTGACTTTGCCTAAATAGAAAAGGAAAAGGGAAGAAGGGGAGGAGGGGGATAATGATGTGGCATGGACATGGGTTATGATGAGGAGTAGAAATGAGCCTCATCATGAACATGTTGAGCTTGAAGTAAAAGAGGTGGGTGGAGTAGGAGTAAAGATTCATCATTTTGCCAAGAACAAAATAATCAGCCACAGTAAATTAAGTTCAATTTCAACCACTGATCCTGGTTATATCATCTCACTCCCGCAAGGCAAAACACAGCGACTACCGGAGATCTGATATGCAAATCATAGCTTTGTCACTCAATAGTCATTTGCTGATGTCTTTTATGTGGGACCCTAGTTTCCCACCATCTCCAGCAGAGGAATTCCGACCCTGCCTTCTGCTCTAGGAGGTGATCCACTAGGACTAACACTGAGCCACAGCACAAGGCAGAGCTCCTTCTATTTTTCCATGTTTATTAACTCAGAGTCATATCTTCCTTTTTAACCAACTTCATCCCCAGTCTAAATGTGCTGGCTTAAAAGAAAAATGTCCTTACTTATTTTTTATACTACATCCAAATAAGGTTAGTTTTATCAGTGGAAAAGGTGGATTATTGTGTAGTCTGATTTAAGTATACCTTACCTATTTTCTTTGAGTTCTCAAAGTTATTGCCATCATCAGAAATTCAACCATTATATACTAGAGGCTCGTGCACAAATTCATGCACAGGTGGGGTCCCTTGGACTGGCCAGCCATCAGGCTGATCAGGGCAGTCTTGCCCAGTCCTGATTGGGGTCAGTGGGCCAAGGATAGGAACCATGGGAGGTTGGAGGGCACAGGAGGTTGGTTATGGGAGCGCACTGACCACCCAGCCAGCTTGGGGAAAGACTGTGAGAAGTTAACTGTGGGAGCACACTGACCACCACAGGGCAGCTCCTGTATTGAGTGTCTGCCCCCTGGTGGTCAGTGCATGTCATAGCGACTGGTAACCAGTGGTTCTGTCAACCAGTTGGAATAGTCACTTAGGCTTTTATATATATATATATATATATATATATATATATATATATATATATATATATATATATATATATATATTTTTTTTTTTTTTTTCACTTCCTTAGATGTTAGATTTACTAATAAAATGCAATAACCTCAGGCAAAGACAATGCCACTGCATTAAGGATGCTATAAAATTGGGTACACATTCATCTGTGTGCCCAATCTTCCTTTCTCCTCCAAACAATTTTAAATGAGCATGAAAGGTAACCTTGAAGGGGGGGCTGGGGGGAAGATTTAAAAAAAACAACATAAAATTAAGTTTTGGAAGAGGAGAATGGCAGTGGGGTGGGGAGGAATCCCACCTCCATTTTATCTTGGTGGTGATGAATCTAGGCCTGTGGTAGGCAAACTGCGGCTCGTGAGCCACATATGGCTCTTTGGCCTCTTGAGTGTGGCTCTTCCACAAAATACCATGGCCTGGGCGAGTCTATTTTGAAGAAGTGGCATTAGAAGAAATTTAAGTTTAAAAAATTTGGCTCTCCAAAAAAATTTCAATCGTTGTCCTGTTGATACTTGGCTCTGTTGACTAATGAGTTTGCCAACCACGAGTCTAGGCAGTTGGCGTATGTCCTGCTATGAGTCCCAAGCCACCTCGGGACCCTTTGAAGTGGAGGCCAGATCATAGTTCCAATTTTCCACACCTTAGGGGCTAGTCAGGAGATGAGGAGATCATAATAATAGTAACTATAATAATGAAGAAATATTCCAATAACTACTTTTAAATTTACAAAGCATTTTCAAATTCCCTTGGTCCCCATCATAACCTAAAGGGTGGGAACTGTAATTTCACTTTACAGATGAGGCGCAGTGAATTAAACAAGCTGTCCAAGATGGCCAAACTACTGAGCCTAGACTCCAACCCAATCTGGGATTGAACTTGTTCTTAAAAATGTTTCCCTAATATCAGGGTGAAAGGCTTGATGGAAAGAAGTATTTCCCTTTGAGAGAAAGGGAAACTCCTGGAGGGAAAGAGGTGCTTTTCAAAGTGGGGGAAAGAGGCACCCAGCAGAGTTCCACAACCACTTTGCTCTCTAGCATGGGGTGTGGCCCACTGAAAGGACAGCCATTTGCCTTCACCAGCTGCGTTTCCAGATGCCATAGGCAGAGCAGTGGCGATGGCCGAGTGGGGACAGAGTGCAGTGTTTCACTGTAACTATGTACAGATTGTTTAAGCAATGACTCAGAAGGTCCATATGGAGAGATTTTTAAAGGTGTCATTTTTATAATTGTCCTTTCAATATTGTAGTTTCTGTGGGGAAGATGGAAACACATAGGGATGATAGGAATGCCATCAGAGTGAGTGCACTGGAGCTTTACAAGATGGAATTGGGGTGTTCTCTGTGGGCCTTGTCGATCTAGCTCTTTGACCTTGAACATGAAGTAGAAAAACAGCAAGGATCCCACACAGAGATGCCCCCAGAGGGTGAGCCTCCTCTATGTTCTGGTAGAGTGATCATTCTCAAATAGGGTCATGCCCTTAGAACCTTCCATGGCTCCCTATTTCCCACAGGATCAAGTCCAACTTTGATAGCAAACATTTCAAGACCCTTCACCATGGAGCCCTCAACAACATTTGCAGCTTCATCTTTTGCCACTGCCTGCCCCTTCCCCACCCCAAGTCATATATCTTGGGCCACGCTGCTGTCCCTTTTGCTCTTAGGTTGTTTGTGAGCCACACCTTTCATCCTAGAGGCAGGCTCAGCCCTGGGTGTGTCTCAGCACTTGGCCCATTGCATCATGGGCTTGTATTCTTAACTGCTCCTTGCCAATAGTTCTACCTTTTCAGCCTGCTTGTAAAATGGATTGTAAATCCCTTGAGGACTGAGAGCCTGTGGTCCTAACCTATTTGCATCCTGGATGTTTATTCCAGTATTAAATGCTCATAGTACATTCATCACTGTCTTAGTATTTCCTCCTCCTGTATGTCACTTAAACCCTTCCCCCCACCTCCATTCACCACCTCCACTGCCACCACTGGAGCTCAGGCCACCTTCATTTCTTCCCCGGAACTGCTATGGCCCCCTCACTGGCCTGCTTTCATTCAGCAGCCGCTGTGAAGCTTTACAAACTTAAATTGGTCATATTAGTCCCCTGCTTGAAAACTGCGTGATTTAAAGGAGTTTCCCCGTTTTTGTACACAAGGCTCATTCTTGCAGAGTAGCCCAGGTGCCTAGGAGTACCAGGGTGAGAATAGAGCATTAAGCCACAACACGGGGGAGGAAAAGAAAAGCCTTTGGGTCCCGGGTCACCTCCACTGGGAAGCCTCTCCAGATTACCCCAGGTAGAAATGGCCTCTTCTCCCTCTGTGGCCCCATCTTCTCAGACAAGACACTTAGGGGGAAATCTATATCCACTTTTGCATCTGTTTTGTTTTGTTTTTTTTAGTGTGGTTCTCTCCCTCTGTTAGATTGTTAGCCCCTGATGAACAGGCTGGAGTGCTATCTTTAGATAAAGCCAAGACTGAACATAGTAGGCCCTTAATCGAGGCCTCTCGGCCGACCAACCAAATAAATGGCTCACGTAAAAGGCATATTCTCCATTTCAGGAGCATTTGCCGAGGAGCCTAAACTAAATGTCATTCTCCTGGTCAATGTCATTGATGCTGAAATGTTCAAGCTGTTAAAGGACCATCAACTTTGGCTGAGACCGGTTTGGCTCAATGGATAGAGCGTCGGCTTAAGGACTGAAGGGACCCGGGTTCGATTCCGCTCAAGGGCATGTACCTTGGTTGCAGACATATCCCCAGTAGGGGGTGTGCAAGAGGTAGCTGATCGATGACTCTCTCTCATCGATGTTTCTAGCTCTCTATCTCTCTGACTTCCTCTCTGTACAAAATCAATAAAATATATTTAAAAAAAAAGAAAAAAAAAAAAAGGACCATCAACTTTGAAGGGCCCTCACTGGATCTAGCCAAAGACTTCCCAGCCTGTTCTATCCAGTGGCATGCAGGCCTGTGACTCACCCTTCCTGGACAGAGTTCATTGTCAAGTTCATTGCCAGTCTTCCATTAGCATAGTGCCAACCCTCCCCCCCAACTGACCTACTACTCAGTGAGGCTCTTTGCTGTGTTTGTTGCCCTTCCTGGCAAATAAAACAGCTCAGCTTTCTTTACTATTAAGCTCTTTGGATTTTGTTTTCTCCTTTGACCCCATGGCCGGCTGGTGAGCCCCGGGCCCCAGCCATGACTCAGGAGGGAACCTTCTCTGCTACACTGTGTGTTACAAGACACCATGCAATGGACCCTAGACATCTGCCTACTTTTAAAATTACATTTTAAAACTCTAGAACTCGTTTTAGGAAAAGAGCACTAAGTTTACTAAATACTAAAGTATTATGTAATAGTCATATGTTATTAATTCTATACTAATGGTAGTAGTAGAATAAGAGTAATACTAGTATATTAATAATGCTATGGTAATGGTAACTATATAGTCATACTAAAATAACTAAAATACTAAATATAAGAATTTCTTCCCCTGTTCTTGGATTTTTTTCTGCTTCACATGTAATTCCTTCCACCCATCACCTACCCCGTATGCTTTAACTTCCCCAGTTTGGACTTGACAGTAAAAAATTGCTGATTAACACATGTGATATTGTTTGGAACAAAAAATATATATATATATGGAAAATGCAGGTTATAACCTGTGGTGTTTTTTTCTTGTCTTTTTCTTTGTAGGAGATGTCAGTGAGAAAAGGGGTCCAGAATGATTACTAACCTATGACTCCCAACAGCATGACAGGTATCTGTGCTTTTTCATTTTTCTTGGTGTGTCTCCGTTTTTGTTCCACTTCACTGAGAACATAAGGTGTCTAGAAGACCAACCTGAGAGTCTTAGCAACAATAATTTCCAAACCAAGAAGTGTTGTGAAATGCAAATGCCTACAAATATGCTCTCATCTTTAGGAACTATGAGAGTCCTCACCACAGACTTGATGGGGTGGAAATGAGAACTTACTGTCAAAGGCTAGTATGTAGCCAACCTAGGTCTCTCTCGACACTGAATACATTCTCTCTTTACATTCATTCAGATCAATGTAATAAATAGCTCTGCACATTTACAGACCAGAGTCCAGGCATCTTCCCAAAGTGAGCTGTTTATTCCACTCAGCAATAGAATCAGAATGGAATATGGTTCAACCACATGAGATAAAGTGAGCTAGAAACTCTTAGCAAGGGACAGAGGAACAACAGTATGACCCCTGAGGAACATAAGATTGCAAAAGCATGAGTTATTTGTGTAACACAGATTAGGGTTTGCAAACCCAAAGCCCCAGGGACCATGCAGATATGCCAAAGCTTGACACAGATTGGTTGTATAAACAAAACTCTTCTCTCTGAAGAGAAGCCAGTCCTCCACTCTAGGCAATCACTGACAAGCCGAGATGAAGCTCTGTGTGTCCAGAGATGTTGACTTTTCAAAAGTTAGAAATCCGGGTTTTAAATAAAATACCCCCAACTGTAAATGTAAGCAATAAATGTATAAAAATATCAAAAAATTCATGGGCCCAAGCAGCCAGGCCCAGAGCAGCAGCAGCCAGGCCTGGAGCGGCTGGGCCCAGAGCAACCAAACCCAGAGCAGCCGGGTCGGGAGCAGCCAGGCGCGAAGCAGCAGCAGCAAGGCCCGGAGCAGCCAGGCCAGGAACGGCCAGACCCGGAGCGGCTGGGCCCGGAGCGGCCGAGCCCAGAGCAGCCAGGTGGGGAGCAACCAGGCCCGGAACAACCAGGTCCGGAGCGGCCGGGTCAGGAGCAGCCAGGCCCAGAGCAGCAGTAGCCAGGCCCGGAGCGGCAACAGCTGGGCCCGGAGCAGCCGGGCTCTGAGCAGCAGGGCTCTGAGCAGCAGCAGCCAGGCCCAGAGCCAGGCCAGGTGCAGCCAGGCCAGGAGCAGCCGGGTGGGGATCAGCCAGGCCCGGAGCGACCAGACCCGGAGCACTGGTTGTGGAGCAGACCAGAGCAACAGAGGCCAGGCCCGAAGCAGCCGGGCCTGAAACACCTCGCTCCTCGCCTGCCCATACCCCAGGGCTGCTTCTCAGACATGGCTGGAAACTTTTGGGGGACTTGAGGAGGGTCTGCTGAATCAAGTGATGAAGGCTTAGATCTGGATGTGTTGAGTTATTATAGCGCTGGGGTGTTGATCTGTGAGTTTCTTGTGTGGGATCTGGATGAGGTTGGTTGATCTATTTGGAAGTGTCTTTTGTGTGAAGTGTATCCTTGGGCATGTGGAGGTATTATTGATTTGAGAAAATGCTAAGTAACTGGTTTACTATCTGAAAAATTTAAAGTTCTGAAAGTTTAAGGTCTCTTGCCAAAAAGAGGTTTTAAAGCTAACACCTTAATTTCAATGGAGAAAGGGGAGGACAAGCCCTTCCTACCCAGAACAGGAAATCCAATTCCAGCCAGCAGTTATCTTTAAACAATGTGTCCATTTACATTTGAATGGCTATACCTTTTGATAACCTAAGGGCAAGTTTACATGTAAACAAGTTTGTTTCTCAGTTCCCAGGGCAGAAAAAATAAGGTGTAAAATTAAATTTTAAAATTTATTCTTAAAAAATATAAAAGTTCATTAATTTTTTTAAAAAAACAAGGAAATTAAAAAACCTGATGAACAATATTAACTGTTGAATATAATAGAATCAGAGATACGGGAGGAGAGTGGACTGACAAATCTGGGCGGGAGGGGGGGGGGGAGTGGTGGATGCGGGAAGAGACTGAACATAAACTGTGCACCTATGGATGAGGACAATGGGGGGTGGGGAAAGGGCAGAGGGTGGGGTGGGAACCTGGTGGAGGGGGAAGAAATGAGTAACCTTTGTAATAATATGAACAATAAAGATTGATTAAAAAAAAAAAAATTCATGGGCCCATCAAAATGCCTACTGACTGGAATCAACCATGGACTGTCAGTTTACAACCTCTGCAGCCACCATGCAGCCCAGCACCAAGCCGTGGCTGTCCTTTTGGTTACTATGGTAGGAGGGCAATACCCATAGACTTCCGTGTGTCATGGGTACACCCTCACTTCTGATAATCTATTTATGTCACCTCCCTACCAAGTGACAAACTAAATGGACAGGACAAGTCTTCCCAGAATTCATTCCCCAGTAGCACTGAGAAATGGAAGCAACCTAAAGTTGCTACTCAGCCTTCTAGAAGTTTACATGCCTTATGCAATGACCATTACAATTCACTGAGTGGCTAGATTATTATGATCTCTGAACGCATAATAATCTGGCCACTCAGTGTACTTACGTATAAGGGAAAGCTTGCAAATCTTGACTTATCAAGGGACCAGGAAATAGTGACCCCCAGCCTCTGGCTAGTAAGTCCTCTGCTTCTTTCTAAAGACCCGCAATGCAGTTCTTATACATGGAAAAACCTTATTTTAAAATCCCAACTCTGTGGTCAGTCCATACTGAGTGGCCAGATTATTATGTGTTCAGAGATGATAATAATCTGGCCACTCAGTGTATATTTCCCAGCATCACTGCCTCTACCCGTCTACACTTGTATTCCTGGTGCAATAAGACAGAATTCCAGAATGCTTCACACCCATAAGAAGTGAGGGTGTCAGAATCACCTTCTCACCTCTGATGACCTGGCCAATCCTCTCCCCCACTTAAATGTCACACTTTCTATGCCATAAACCTGCTGATTCAGTGGGAAATTTGTGTAGATCAAGCTTAGCTAAGCCTCCATGTGTTTGCTGTTCTGAGTGGAAATCTCAACCAGGAGTGATGGCCTAAGTCTTTGCAGCCACAGACCTGTGTGAGCAGTACTGAAAACCAAGGGAAAGTGCCCCTTGGTCAAGGGAAAGTGTGGGATCAAGTGGGATACTCGATGGCTCTCTACTCCTTGATAATCTGCACCCGCTCTCCACCTCCCCCCGCCCCACGCACACACCTTGAAAAAGCCTCCAAATATACAATCTCAAAGAACAGACCCTCCTGAGACATGAACATAGTAAAACTTGGTGTAAAAGTGGATGATCCAATGGTTTTTGCTTGCTTTGAGGTTGGGTCTAGATAGAGGGTGGTACTGAACATCTATTCTAGATTCTTACAGAGCCAGGTAGTAAATATGATTTCTTATAAATCAGACTAGCTTTACACACTATGCCATTCTGCCATTGTAGCATGAAAAGCCATGGACTATGTATACACAAATGGGCTTGTCTGTATCTCAATAAAACTTTATTTACAGAACAAGTGGCAAACCAGCTTTGGCCCAAGGACTAGAGTTCGCTGACTCCTTTTCTAGAGTCCAAGGTCATCCAGAACATCTTACTGTTGTCAGCTGATATCCAGGACTGATCTAGGATTCTGGGCCCACTCCAGAACAATTCTGGACTAAGCCAGCTTTCAGCCAATCTTGTGGAAGTCGAATGCTTTCCTTGCAGGCTGAGTTGAAACCCAGCTGCCTCCCAGTGAGCTTTTGCTTTCCAGCTTTGCTTCTTAGAGCAAAAACTAACAGTAGTTCTATTTTCAAGAGGAATATACTGCATGCACATATATGCTCAGTATGTTAATAGGTTCAGCTGAGAAAATTATCACTTTAGACTCCTTTGTGTGTAGATGAAGTAAAAAAGTGCCTCTTCTCTCTCTTGTGCTGTGATCTTGTACTATATGTTTATTTTTAAAACCTAAAGGGAGGTCATAATAAAGTTGTAAGATGTCAGAACTAACCCCTTGCTTTAGGAGAGTAATTTAAAGGGCAAATATGCATAACTTCTTTTTTGAAAAACATAATAGGTAATATTATTGTTATGCAGTATAGAAAACCAAATAACCTTTATGAAAAGAAATCCATTGTTTTACATGAACAGGAGTAAGAACATTGAATTTATTTTCCTAAAACTAAAGAAATCAGCATTTTCGAATAAAAAAGCCACCTCAGACACGCTGCTTATTAAAGTTATATTTTGTATAAACTCAAATGGAAAATTATTTCCTGGAGTTACTTAATATCAGCTATGATGGAACTAGATCATGCCAAAATTTCCTCACTGCTTTCTTCAACTAATTTGAAATTAGGACTGTGTGAAATAACTCATTGAAAATACTGATTTGTAAAGAAGAAGAAAGTGCCTTAATATATTTAATTAATCTAGAATTAAGTGCTGCTTCCTAGATAATCTGAGGGGAATTCTGCTAACCTTTGTGGCATTATAATGAGTTCTATTTTGCATAAAGCCATGATTCACAGCATAAAAAAGTTTATTCTAAGATATGAATACCTAAGATATTAAATAGCAAAGTTTGAGACTTTTGGCCGTTGTTGGAAAGGAAACTAAGAACTCAGACTCCTAAAGGCCAGAAACAAGCATCTATTATATTGGCACTGAACCTGGCTTCATGAAATTAATATATGACACAAAGTGGAGCCCTGTTGTAATGCTGTCTTTTTTCCCTCGAGGCATTACTGTTGAGTGCATTCCAGGTACAAGAGAGGGATGTTTGCAAAGATCTGATGGGAGCTTTCTCTGTTGTTGCCCATGTGCTTTTACTGTCATCTTCAGGGTTTGCTTTCTTGCTGGGATGGAGACATTAGTTAAGGAAAATGGAGAATTTCAAAGATGGGGTTTTTTTAAACTTGCATCTCCCATTATTCCTTTAGGTAAAATATTTTTCATGTTTATTGCCCACTTGCATTCCATCTGCAACTCAGTTGTTCACATTGATTTCCAGTTCCCCTTTGTGGATATTACGTTTTACTATTATTTGTTGAAGTCGTTTGTCATAT